ATCTTTCTTCTATCATTGACAGTCCCTCTAGGTTGTGGGCTGCTTGCCTGTGTTCCTGAGAAGCATCTACGGTACCAGTCTATAGAGTGTGTTTTCTTTAGTGAATTACCGGTATGTTTACCGGTAATAAACTTGCACTGTTTTATGTATATGTTTGATTACATACAGCCTTGTGACAGTTTTCCTGCATGTCATAAGCATTTGAATATAAATTAAAATGTTAAAATCAAATCTGATATTGTTTTACCTTTTATTTGGTGTGTGGAAGGTGTGCGGAAGAGGGGGTAGTCTTATACGGCGAGTATATAACAAACTCTGTATTTTGAGTGGAAATGTTAGGGGGTCGTCTTATACGCCCAGTCGTCTTATACGCCGGCAAATACGGTATGTTCAATTTAAAAGAGAAAACAACACACGCTTATTCTATAGTACAGCATAATTACCCTTTTCCTGCAAAAGCTTCACAAATTGGACTCTTGTAATTCTCAGCCACAACCCCACAGGAGGTGCATTGAGTTTTGAATATACTACCTGAAAAACATAAGTCAAGCAAGACCAGAAATAATATCAAGAGCAACTGTCTCCATGTCCAAAAGGGAACAAAATCACTTAATTTTTATATGTTCATTTTAGCAAATGGGCCTACCCTAGGCATCATGGGAAATGTAAAGGTATGCAATATTATTGAACAAGCCAGGAGCATCTATCCTCCTGGACTTTGTACTCTAGAGGGAAGAGAGACAGATGAAATAATCACTCATGACTAAGGAGCTCTCACATTACTCAGAGTGATGATCAGGTAGGCCTGAACTGATCAATAAGGTAGATGAAGCCAACCAACTAAGGGCATGATTTACTAAGTACATGATTGATAAAGGTTCAGTAGCTTGGGATGTGTTTACAAATCTTAATTTTAAGTTAATAAAGCTTGAATATTTTATCTAAAACCAGATCAATCAATAATTAATCAACTAATAAATGAAGAAAATAACTGCTAAAACTAGCAACCATTTGTTAAGCTTACCCAATAATAGTGACCACAATTCACTACATATTGTCATGTGCCCAGTGCTGTGCTGAGCATGTCACACACACTGTGGTGGATACACATTGTTCCATTGTCCAGTGTCACTTTGTTGAGGACCCATCTCTCCTCTATCCCATGCCAAGCTGATGAAGGTGTCAATCACATCCTAAAATACAAGCTTGGATACTCGTTCAGAGTGGTCCAATCCCAGTACCCCATCCCTCTAGTGATAGTGTTTGGTTAAAAGCAGGTAACCGACCCAAGCAAGGCTCCCCGAGGTTTGTTTTCTGAGGAGAGAGCTAAGCTAGAGTGAGCCTGGAGCTGCCAGACGTTACTTTGCTGGCACATGTAGGCGATCAACTACAGAGGGAGAGGTAAAGTAACTGAGTGAGCAAAGTTGAGGGAAGGAGAGGCCAAGAGACAGGGAGAGAAAGACAGGGAGCCTGCTGCTGACGTCAGCTTCTCCCAGGCTCCTCAGTGTTGCCAGCCAATGTACCTATTTTGTCGGTTTTAGCATGGCTACTTTCCCGTTAACATCTCTGAAGTTCAGACGCGTCCTGTGACTGCCACTGGCCACATGACGGGGGTGATGTGGTTGCCACAGCCAGCACTTGCACAGACTTGTTGAAGAATTACACCAATGACTGACATGTGTCCTGACTGGACAAAGGCAGCCTCTGCCTATTTCAGTCAACAAACCAGTTAAGGTCCATTTGGGGAAGAAAAATGAGTCCTGGTTGTCATCTAGAACCTTCCACTCACACCTTTTGGTAAGATCAAGAAAGGCCCAACGTCAAACCCGCAGAATGTGTGTCAGCAGCTTGGGAGGGAAGCGCGGAGATAAGTGGATCCCCTTAGGAAATGTGGCGTCACTGGTCCCACACACTGCGGAAAACAGTCGCTGACACCGCGGAGGCCTTCAGAGTTCATTCAGAAGAAATACCATAACCACTCTATTTTACTCATGTTTTGTTTTTTATATGCATGAGAGTGATAGTTTCTAAAAATATGTATCTAAATAAGTTTTAACAAGCCCTTTCTATTTATATAAAATAGTGAATTCTAAGGAGTAATAAAATATCATGGTTTGGGCAGATGATTTTCTTTCTAAGTATCACATTAAAAAACTGTTGCATCTTCAATTTGATGAAAGAAAGGGCTTCCTTTTGTTTTTACCTGAATTTGAAGAGAGTTCTCATCACTTGCAAACAAAAAAGTCCCAACTAATATGTATATATTATCTTATTTAATGCTTAAAATAACTGGATTCTGATTTTATACGTTCTACATGGCAAGTGACAGCCTACAATCTGACACTGCAGAGAAACGAGAAGAGCCATGTGGAAAGTATCCTAGATCCAACAGAAGAAGGTGCCAAAAAGACTTCGGTTAGTAGGTGGCTGACACTGTTAGGACACACAAAAGGGATGGGATCCAAGCACACAGTGCTCACCTCTCATTATCAGGGTGACCATAAGCCTAGGCAAAAATGGGCAACCTCACGGCGTACGCACACAAGCACCATCCCTATTGGCTCACTGTTCCTGGAAAAGCCACTATTAGAAATGCATCCCTTGGAATTAAAGTTTTGAAGACTCTTAAATGCAAATGTCTTTGGGAAAAAAATCCTTGCTTGCACATTGATGCTCTTGCATGAATGGGTTTATTAGATTTTTGGTGAGAGCAAAGAGGGGAAAGGAGTAAGAAGACAAGAGGGGGAAAGGAGGCTGTCGTCAGGGAAGAGAGGGAAAGCCAGAGGGACGCAAGACAAAACCTATGTGTGTCACAACTTGGTGGGCATGATTCAGTGAAGGTCGCTGAGCAGGTAGCTCTCTAAAGGCTGGAGGGCTTAGCAGAAGCACAGCTCAGTAGACAGTACCAAGTGGGACAAAGGGAAAGCAAGTAGATACAAAAAAAGCCACCTGTTCAATGGCCCACCCCTCCTGTTCCCTTCAGCCCAGCTGGGCAGTTGTCTCTAGCACACCCCCTCAAGAGCTGCTCAGGGAGGGGCACGCACGCAGCTGTGCAGACCAGCGCCTTCGCGGTGTAACAGGCGCACACCAGACACCTGGGTGTGTTGTCAAAATGCAGATTCTGTTTCAGTGAGTCCAGGTGGAAAATGGCAGGACATATGTTTTCAAGGCTAGTTCCCCTCCCCGTGTGAGGCTGGGGGTTCTCACCATGGATTTCCAGAAGGTTCTTGGTACCAGCCTTGCGGTGCAGCTCATCGATGTTTTGGGTGATGACCATGACCCGGCGGCCCTGCTCACGCAGCCGGGCCTCACACTCAGCGATGGCGAGGTGCCCGGGATTTGGCTTCACGCGCTGAATGACTTCCCGCCGGTAGTGGTAGAACTCCCACACCAGGGACGGGTTTTGGGCAAAGGCCTCAGGAGTGGCCAGGGTCTGGGGGTGAGAGGAGGCAGGAGTCAGGGAGGG